CATAACCTATCAACATGGCCCACTACAGTTACGGCTTCGTGGAGCCAATCGACCCCGTCCCCCAGACGCTCGCTGGATTTTAAGCTCACCAGAAGGAGCCTTCTTGTTCCGAGACTGGCTTAAGTCCACTCTATTTTTTCGAAGAGTTTCAAAGGTACCATTAATGGGGGAAGCTCTGTTTGCACCTACATTTGTAGGACAGCCCTGATTACTTAGACACCAACGCTGTCTATATACGAACATCTACATGTAGTTTAATTTCCGCTTTTAATTATATAATTTATATCAATTTAAGAAGAGTCTCAATAATTTGGCGACCATGCGGACCGGGAGTAGTGAGGTCTTTATCGGGTTTTTTTTAGGGGAATGCCGGTGCGTCGGGTAGCCCTTCATAGGCTGAGCTGACCGGCATGGGGCTTTTTTTTTAAATTTACTTTTGGTCCTAAGCTAAAGCTATTTATCCGCATTGGGTCAAGGACCAGCGGATCCGGCAGGGTTCCCTGTAACTTTTCCTACAGCCTAGCTCGTTCCAACCTCGTGAATCGCTACCAAAAGTGCAACTGATTAAACTGAAACGAAAAATCAAGAAAATCAAAACTACTCCGAAAAAAAACCAAAAGATTCCTCCATAATGGACCCAGTCAATGTGCTCCTCACACATTCCCTCGTCCGTCACACCTTCCAAATGACAAATTTACTTAATTTCCGCTGAGAGCAAGAGATGAGTTAGCAGGCACCTTTGATCCAGCCGGTATCCTGCTATTGGTTATTAGATGCTCCAGAAGGGGACATCGTCGAGGTTGCTGTGTCCTCAAACTTCTTCTTCAGGTTCCAGCACTCCGAAACCTGTTGCCTCGGCCATTGCGGTATCCTTCACCGCAGCGACAATCGCCTCTTCGGCCTTTTTGGCTGCGGCCCTAGCTCGAGCCGCCTCCGCGAACTTCCCTTGCTCGAGGTGGCGTATCCACGCGAGCTCCTCTTTTGTCACCGGCCCAGACTTTCTGGGTCTGACTTTGCAGTCTCTAGAATCCGATCAGTGGGGTCCCCCACAGTTTCGACACTTAGTGAGGGCCTTGCACTCGGCTTCCGAGTGCATGTTGGAGCCGCAGTTCCAGCAGGCTGGAGCGCGGGAGCAACCACGAGTGGCGTGGAAGCCCAAACAGCGTTTACACTGTTCAATTTATCGACGAGGCTTGTGTATGGTAGCCCTACCAGACTCGTCGAAGAGGCGGAAGCCCGCACGAGGGGCGACTTCCCGGTCGAAAAGGGCATGCCAGTTTCGGTGCGGTGCCCCAGGTCGACATGTCCCATGAGGTCGGACGTGTATTGGTCTTGCGCCGGTCATAACAGCGATCTTGTCGAAGACCCACTCAGAATCGACCGCCATAGGGCCTCGCTCTGTGATTATACTTACAGATACGTTGGGTATCTGTAAGGCTACAAGATCTGAAGATGCCTCGAGTTTGGCGTTTTCACTAGCCAGCTTCGAAGAGTCATCTAGCATCTCTTGTCGTGTTTTTTCGTCCTTTGCTAGCATAGCAAAGCCGGTCCTCACTTGATGAAGAGAGGTTATTTTATCGTGAAAGAAAAGGAATCTTATCTCCAATTTACTTCTCACGCAACTTGTGGACAGTTTTCGCCACGGGTGGCGTAGTGGCCGGGCCCGTGGCCATGTATTGCGCAATGGCGGCGCGTAGGTAGACTCTCATCGAGTCTACGAATTGTCTATTTGACCCGTTGGTCAAAGGGAGGAGGGTGGCTTCGACGCCAGAGATGGCGGCGGAACAGAGGGCCAGATTTGCCGCTGTTTCGGCGGCGCGTCCTTGTTCAGCTTCGACTATTGGTAGAGCTCCGGAGGGCAATCTGCTTTCGTGGCAGCTATTGGCTGCGACGTTAATTTTGGCGCTGCTTTGACTGCAGCGTTTTCCGACGGTTTTGACGCTGTCGGAGGAGATTTTGACGATTCTCCAGTCCCGTGAGGGACGGAGGATGGTTGGGGAAATTCCTCAACAATTTCAACTGACCCGATCATGTCAGTATCGGGTTTAGCGACGGCGGGGAGGGCTTTTCCTTCCCTTTGATTGAGACCTTGCTCATCTCCGCGCATTTCGGAGACTGGGCAAGGCCAGATAATTGCTTGAGAGCCCTCGGATGGACTCTCGTGTTGTCCAACTTGGCGTTGGGACGCTTTTTTCGAACAGGTGGCATGGTGAAAATGCCAGTGACTCGATGATAATTTTCTGATAGAATGCGACGAGCGCGAAAGGGATTGAGAGGGGGAAAAAGTAAAGATTCGAATTTCGAATTTCAAAAAATTGTGTTGTTGTGCGCAGGCACGACGTTAATAAAAATAAATAAATGAATGATGATGCTTCCGACTACAATCACAATGCGCATATTTACTCTGGAGTAATCACCCCTTACTACATCGGTCCTATCTTCCAATTAATGCCTTTTCGCGCTTTTATCTTAAATGACAGGTCATGATATTCTTTGTCTTGCTGGCCATCATCAAGCTCAGAGTTATGGACAGATTATGTCGGTAAAAGGATCACATTTGGGTATTGTGAATTTTTCTATGTATTTGCGATATTCAGGTTGTCGTTAGGACACTGGCAGGGGTCTGATTTAGCTCATTAGCGAGGCGCTTGGAGTAGAGGAAGGAAGGGGAGATGGAGAAGGAAAAGGAGAGACAACGTTTTATGTATATCGAGATACCAGTTAATTGAAATTATTCACCGACTTTGTGACGGACAGCTGAGTTCGTGACGGCACCCAATTTGTATTACTTCGTGTTTTACCAACCTATTAAATCTTTAACACTCCTAATACTGACATTAGAACTAGATCCGAAGACATAGTTAACCTTCTGAAGCGTTTGAAGAGGCCGGTCAGCTGGGAGCTGCAAACTTGCGGGTACCTCGAGAAATTCACTCTCTGCCTTTCTAGCCTCCTGCCCTAAGTTCGTGCTGAAATTTCAGAAAAGTCTTCATAGAGCGTGATTGCTGTATGGTAGCTTAGCCCAGCTTCTTTTGTACCGTCCAGGGCGCTGGGGAGTGCTGTTGACTTATCGAAAATTGAAGCCCTACTGGCTAATTTGGCGAGATCTCGGTCTTGGCGCCCACAAATGTTCCAGAGTTGAAAATCACTCGAAAACAATAGTCTCAGGATGACCGTCAGAGACCTATTCCCCCTTCTCGCTCCGCATCTCAGCCGCCTGTTCTCCCTCGTGTGGTTTGTCCCAGTAGAGCAGCAGTCCCCTATAAGCCAGGATCCAAGCTTTGTATTTTTCGACATGATTTCCTTCTTGCTGGTATAGGTAGCGTCTCAAATATATAGTGAGAGATGGCTGAAAATTAATAGGGCATGCTCATATTTGCGATTGGAGTCACGTCATTATCTGTACTTAAGGCGAGGTGTTGTAGTAAGGTCGAGAGAAAGGACTCGCGTGGGAATGAGAAGTCCCAAATTGACGAGAAGTCGTTGATTCTAGATATGCTTATAGTTGCTATCGACATTGATTCGGATGCATTTCTTCTTGGCTATCCAAGATATGCAGAGTATAATAGGTGATTACACCGGCACCACCGGAAGGTGAATAATTCGTCGATGCCGGCTTGTCATAACCGATGTTTTGGGGGTAGATGAGAGAGGGTTCTCAATTACGTTGTCCCAGGCCACCAGTGCCACTGCCCCGCACTAATATGGATCTGAGGAGGAACGCGAGTTGGCGTTTTTTTTTGTTTTTGCATCAGATTTTAATTGCGTATGCAGCTATCTAGCTTTGACACAATATCAAAGAAAAGTACAAAACAGATGATTCAACGTAAGGAAAGAGTACTCATGCCTCGGATTTCATTTGCAAGTACCACTGCGAAGTTATGGCGGCTTTTTCTTCGCCTCAAGTCAACCCTCATCCGTGAATACCCATCCAGGGGAACGTCTCAAAAACCCTGGGTTATCCAGACATGCCTCCATCATCTTTTAACTTTTCTCCGCGTGAAATGTGGTCTTAGGTGTCTCCTTCAAAAGTGGAGCAGGTGCCCAGGCTACTCAAACCATACCTGAGAACACCACCAGGAGGCGGGCCACAACACCTTCCATCGTTTGCTTGTGTTTATAGTGTCAACTGCACTCTCGCAACCGAAGTCTTGGTGCGCACAAAGCCCAATTCATAAAACTCCTTGCCAAAATTCGGAATTTCACGCCCGTCGAGGTTATATCATTCCTTCGCATCATCATGTCTACTTATCCTGATTCCTCTCACGTCCATCCCAAAGAGCTATGTCCCAGATTTGTGCTCCACGCTTTGCTTCCTCCGTCGGGTATAAATACCGGTGTGGGCGTGTATTTGGCGGTCAACTGAGACCAGAGAAAGTCGACGAGAGGTGTGATCATTGGAATAAGGATGTACTTGGTCGTACTTGTAGACTTGATGAGACTTAGATAGGAGTCAATCTTGTTGGGAGTGAAAAAACGACGTGGAGGAGTAATTTGAATCATTGCCTCGTGGGCCAACTTCTTTGATATTGCGAAATTTGACTGAACTTAGCTCTGGGAAAATATTTCACTCCCAGGTTCGTAGAGGACACATCGTACAGGTGTTCGGTCTTGCCCTCCTAGTAGGATGTTTATTAAGGTTGGTAATGACGTTATAAGTGATCTGGGCAAGCTAGCTACGTTTAGGTACTAGGGTCCAAAGTAAATCTCTTACTTGAGTCAGGGGACATGGACCTAGGCCGGCAGCGTTAGGATACCTGCTAACAAACTGGTTCGTCCACGCCCCAATCCTCCCAAGCTAATAGCTAGTCACGTGGGGAATAGATGGAGTAGCCGGAGATTCACTGCCTCCACATCCTAAACAAGGCTGTGAAACTAATTCGTTTCCAAAGATGCGACTTCTTATGTGTCTCCTCAACACGCTTACACACGTTGCTTGAGGCTTTTATACTCTCCGGTATTCTTGAGACCTTGGACTCCATGATCAATGCCGCCTCAAAATGTCCATCATTCTTAGCCTAGTGATTACATTTACAATCGCAGTAGCTGGACAGACTGTACCTGGGCGAGCCTTTGATCGTTTAATCACAATCTGGCTTGGACACGAAGTGCGTGTATCTCTCCCCTATTTATATTGCTCTAACTTACAGGAAAAAGGATTTTAACTCTTCCGTCAACAATGCCGTAATTAACAACTTGAGCTCGCAAGGCATACTCCTCGATGAATATTATAGCCTCACGCATCCATCTCAACCTAACTATGTTGGGAGCATCGGCGGGGATTACTTCGGTCTAGACCATGATAATTTCACCAGGATTCCTAGAAATGTTTCAACGATTGTAGATTTGCTTGATACAAAAAATATCGACTGGAGGGGCTACTTTGAAGACTCACCCGGACCTGGATACATGGGCCCAGAAAATGTAAGATCTGATGGAAAAACTGACTATGTTCGAAAACACAAGTAAGAACTCATCTTCGAGAAAATATAACTGTCTAACAAACTAGTCCCTTTGTTCAATATGATAGCATTAACTTTAATGGCACTCGTTTGTCACGGCTACTTTCTTTCCGAGATTTTGATCACGAACTTAAGGCCAACTCTTTGCCCCAGTATATCCATATTTCACCCAACGTTCTGAATGATGGCCACGAAACGACGTCATTATTTGCGCTAAACTGGACCGATTTTTTTCTTGGACCACTTCTAAAAAATACTGAACTTATGAACCGCACCCTTATTCTTCTGACCTACGATGAGTCTAAAACCCCGAATCAACCAAATCGGGTCACATCTCTACTGCTTGGCGGTGCCATACCAGAAAATCTGCGTAACACAACCGATAGTACTCTTTATACCCACTACTCTATCATTTCAACAGTGGAAAATAATTGGGATCTACCGTGTCTTGGACGCTATGACGTGGGAGCTAATGTATTTGAGCTCGTCGCTTCGCAAACGAATTATTCTAACATTCCTTCTCCCAACTTGTCTCTTGTGAACAACTCCTTCTCCTATCATGGATTTCTCAACTCAGACCCCGCAAAGCATCTCCCTATGCCCCCGCCCAATCTAAATCTCACTGGTGCTGGAGGCCAGGGTGTTGTCAAGGTTGTAATGGATTTCTGGAAGGATACTGCTAAAAATGACACACCATATGACGGCAGTGGCAGATTATTTGATGGCGGTGATGGTACAAATAATCAGCAGGCTCCGCAGTATCAGGCACAAGACTCAAATATCCGAGGCCTAAAAAAAGGAGCTGCCGCAAAGTTTAACAATAAAAAGTCTCTGGCAGCCCGAAAAAATAATTTGAATAGCGAGGGCTTGTGTTTCTGGGTAATTTTCGGCTTGAGCACCGGCCTAACTGCGGTATTTAGCTTTATTGTTTAATCACAATGTTTTTATATCATCAGCTTAAACCTGTAATGCCGGCCTTGTCATGGGCAAGTCTCGTATTTAGATCAAAGTCTCGTGAACTAATGCGCTTGACTTAATGTCAATCGGGGCTCCAACTTTTGAAGACAAGCTAGTGTCAGACCGTTACTAGTCTAGATCTACACAAACCTGTCAACAGTGCAGGACCCTAGGCCCGTGCGATATTTAACCTTAATGATGGTCGAGTAACGACAACAAAGCTCGCTAGTCAGCACGTGAAACTAGACCCAAGCTCAAGGTGCTGCAGGAGAAAGATTGTATCTTCTTAGCAGAGTTATTGTGTTTAGGCACCGCTCTGACTCTGGCCCCACGAGCCCTGACCATCACGAATAGTGCCGCATCATAGGCCCTAATCTATTTCAAAAAGAAATCGCTAGTTGCACAGCCTTCTATACATATATCTATGGAGAATATTCTCAACACCTGTCAGTGGTGTCACCTACGAGCCTCCAGCTCTCACTGTAGAGTCTGCAGAGCCGAGTTTGAATAACAAAGACCTCACTTCGATGAGGATTCCCAATCGCTTTCGCGGTCTGTATCGTCTTCATCTCTCAACACATCCCCCTATCACCATTATCATGAAGCTTACCACGATCAGATCAGATGGTAGGTTCGAAGCCCTTTTATCACTCATCCTTGATCATGGAGGAGAAACAATCCGGTGGGTTTCCGGAGCGTACCCAGCACCCGATACGGAGATGGTGGATTGGATAAAGTCGGCCTCGACTGTTACAAAGAAGGAAGATGTATATGAATATGCGCACATCATGTGGTCTCGGTGTCTAGGCCTCGCCTGGCTGGGGCTGCAGGATTTTTGAGACTTTTTCCCGCGCACGCAATTTCTGATGCTACCATTTTGTTTGAAACACCGCACATGAAATGTGCGCAATCTATTTGGAGCGAAAGTAGAAGTCGACTAAAAGAGTGGGAAGTGTGCGCTACAAGTACAAGTATAAGCGGCACAGAGCCTAAGCTACAGAATAAACGAATGAGGCGCCATCTAAGCATAAAAAAGCCCCAATAATCTCCTTGTGCTCACGCCATACAGCCGCTCATGTATCCATTAGGTAGCCTTAAGCGCTACCACATTACCCAATCCAACCTCTTAAATACACCCAAGATCGTGTCGATAACCTAGATGAAATAGAGGGCCCGTACGTCCACAACACTCAATGTCTTCATTTTCAACATATTTTTTATTTTTTGGGTAGAAAGTTCCGTGGAAAAGGTGGCCGAATTCCACGGGTAAACACTGAGCTGAATGGCTATTCATCACGGGCAATATGTATCAAACTGTGGATAGTTTGGGGGCGATCAATATAGAGTTTAAGGTGTTAGGTTTACAAAGCTTGGAGTTACTTGTTTCGGACAAAGGTGTTTCGCTTGGGCTGTAGCAATAAGACCTCTATATATTCTCACTAGAGACGTTTCGTTCCAAACCATGAGAAACTCGGTTCATGGGGACAAGTTGCGGACAGATAGAGCATTTGCCATTTTCTAGACGTACATAATCAAGATAGTATCAGAAAGAGAAATGGCAGCCAGGAATTAATTGACACTTTTTACTTTTACTTCATATATTATTCAATTGACTCGTAGAGTCTAACAATATATCAATGATCTTGCAAGTAACAAAAGAGGATAAGAGCACTGTATGAGGTGTTGCCTGGGTCAGAGAGGAGCTCAATTTGCCAGATTGTCATAGACTCAAGTAGTATAATAAAACGTCAGATCATAAACCCAGCATAAGCGCGCCAGTTCCGCGACTCACCATTGCACATAAACCCGTGCCCCTCCACCGATGGACGGCAGAGTCATTTAATTGCTATACATCTCTCAGCTCATAACCATAATAAATAGAGATACAGAGTGTTTTGGATGTACGCGCCCTTCATTTTGTCTAGGTTCTGGTCACGATATTGTGTGTAGTAAAGAGGTTAAAATGAGTAACAGGATAGCATTTCAGGCTACTTTATGGATACATGAGCGGCTGTATATCATGGGCACAAGGAGTCTATTGGGGGTTTTCCATTTCTGGATATATTTTCAGCGAAATAGCTGAATACTATCTGAATTTAAAAAAAAGTCTGCAATGCGCCACAATTGTTTATATTGTGTCTTGATCTCTGCCTCTATACTTATAGCGCACAATTCCAACTCGTTTAGAAGTTATATGAACATGACACTCATTTAGCTAACTTCCTCTTTTGTGCCGGGAATATTGCGCCCATTTCATTGCGTGGTAGTTCTAGCAGTGTTATGGCCTGGATATTCTGGCCACCCAGTATTAACTGCAGAGATCAATAACAGGTCATCTCTAAGACCGGATTTCAAAAAGTAGTAATTCTATGCATAATGAAAGCATTTCAAGGAGGACAAGACTGAACACCTGTACGCGGTGTCCTCTACGAACCTGGGAGTGAAATATTCTCCCAGAGCCAAGTTCAGTCAAATTTCGCAATATCAAAGAAGTTGGCCCACGAGGCAATGATTCAAATTACTCCTCCACGTCGTTTTTTCACTCCCAACGAGATTGACTCCTACCTAAGTCTCATCAAGCCTACAAGTACGACCAAGTACATCCTCGTTTCAATGACCACACCTCTCGTCGACTTTCTCTGGCCTCAGATCGTCACCAAATACACGCCCACGCCGATATTTATACCCGACGGAGGAAGCAAAGCGTGGAGCACAAATCTGGGAGATAGCTCTTTGGGATGGACGTGAGAGGGATCAGGACAAGTTCACAAGATGATGCAGAAGAGGGATACGTTTTCGACGGGCGTGAATCTCCGGATTTTGGCAAAGAGTTTTACGAATTGAGCTTTGTGCGCGCCAATACTTCGCTTGCAAGAGTGTATCTGACACTATAAAAATAAGCAAACGATGGAAGGTGTTGTGGTCTACCTCCTGGTGGTGTTCTCTGGTATAGTTTGAGTAGCCTGGGCACCTACTCCACTTGGGAAGGAGACACCTCAGATCACATATCGCGCGGAGAAAAGTTGAAAGATAATGGAGGCATGTCTGGATAACCCAGGGTTTTTGAGACGTTCCCCTGGATGGGTATTCACGGATGAGGGTTGACTTGGGGTGAAGAAAAAGCTACCATAACTTCGCAGTGGTACTTGCAAATGAAATCTGAGGCATGAGTGCTCCTCTTGTAAATTGAGTCATTATTTCTGTACTTTTCTTTGATATTGTGTCATAGCTAGATAGCTGCATACGCCATTCAAATCTGATGCAAAAAAAGAAAGCATTTTAACATAAATTAGTGATACAGGCTTTTGGGGATGCTTTGGATTTAGGATATAGGAAGCGCCCACATGTGATTTGCCAGATTAATTTTCTGAGGAGATTAATTATTTTATTTAGACACCCTCATGCCATTGATGGTTCAAGGATGAGCCGGGGATTGCATTAATGTATTGTTCTGATTATAAAAAGTAGAAGAAATGTGTTGGAATATCGGCATGGGTTCGATGAGTAAGGCGGCTCAAAGAATATGGGCGCGATTTATGAACAAAATGATAATGACATGAATCGGGAGAATGAGCGGTATACTATGGAGAAATGAAAAATGGATTGATTTGATTAAATGTCTGTCCAGGTGATTCCTAGTCAGCTTATATACATGTATGCTTAAAACATCAAATCCAAAATAGATACCATCCACCACTCGTTCCATACTCTAACAACGACAATGAATCGTACGACAGTATTCAACATGAGTATGAGGTCAGGGTCGGTGGATGTAAGTCTACCTTGTGGGTATCAAACCATGCCATGCACTAGTTGAGTCTCAAGCATCAAACATGCTCGATTAAAAAGATATCAATCATCTTGGTCGTAACTCAGATCGTGAGTTATGTTTGAGAATCTTAGTTGTTCCAATCATAGGGAAACTTTAGACACACAGAGTCTGAATTTCCAACGAAATGGCTTGCACAGGCCTGTAGCTTCGCAATTTGGATTATTCTCTCCTATTGATCATTATCATGTTTGGTATCTTGCTACCACAATTATTTCTTGTTCATCTGTAAATTCTCACTCCCTAACTTTGATATTGAAGCTCATAATCGCTAATACATCTCCGAGATGCCAGATCCTACCGCTTCTGGATCTAGCAGGCTCTAGCACGCCTGCGCCCTCCTAGTCGAGAAGATGAATAACATATTCAAAAATTTACTCATTGAAATCTTGTGTTGGTCAGATAATTTTTATCAGCTCGCGTCGCAAACCCGATCCAAGATTTATTTTTGGGTTGCGTTAAATAGCTTTCATTTAGTAGTGTCCATTTCGAATCTTTGGCGCGTCAAATTTCGGAAGATGAGGAGCTAGCCTCTACAAAAAGCCGAAGCGGCGTAGTTGTGGAGATAAGGATAAATTGATAGACTAATCACCGTGAGAATGAATGGACGAATGAGAGTTTATTCGTGACGGGTACAAGGCTAGCACTAATATAGCATGGCACGAAGAAGGCTAGTCCTCTTCAGACGACTAGACACGAAGATAATTCAGTTTGACATTTGGACTACTCATGTAGTGGGTACATTCGCTGATACCACTCGAGACCTAGGTGCAAGGGACTTTCACCCTTCCCTCAACGGTTAATATCCACCAAAGAGAAAACAGGAAATACTATTGACTGCCCTGACATGCCTTTGTAATCTTGTATATAGCCGCCGTGCAAGACATGGCCTCATGGTCCTCCCTTTCTCGAGTGAGGTAGGTTTCCAGGCCACCCAGACTTTAATACTGGGAGATGACGACGAGGAGGCGGGCCAAGACACCATCCATCGTTGCCTGTTATTAGAGAGTCAGCTGCACTATCCGAGATTGTTGCCTCTGTGTCTACAGACACTCGCAAGTCAAAAAATGTGCGCCCCAGCATGCCAAATTGTGACCTCTTCACTCGTTCATCCCATGTTCCAGGTGTATGTCCTCCCTTAAGATGTGAAGCCCTATTAGAGCAACGGTCCCCCATAGACCAAGACCCGAGCTTTGTAGATTATGACTTTGTTTCCTCTTCGCGGGCATAAATTGTATCGTAACTTTGTTGTGGGAAATGGTTAATTTTTTATGAGGCAAATGCATTGCAATTGGAGTAACGCCAATATCTGTAGTTAAGGCGAGATGTTGTAGTAAGGTCGAGACAAAGGACTCGTGTGGGAATGAGAAGTCCCAAATTGACGAGAAGTCGTTGATTCTAGATATGCTCATAGTTGCTATCGACATTGATTCGGATGCGATTCTTCTCGGCTATCCCAGATATGCAGAGTATACCGAGCGATTACACCGGCACCACTGGAAGGTGAAGAATTCGTCTTTGCCGGCCGCCGTGAGTATGAATTGTATTGAATTCATTTTATATTGAGTATGTGGCAAATGGTCGTTAGATTGTGTACTTTTTTTTAACACATGTATGTGAGGGACTATTCTCAACACCTGTCAGTGGTGTCACCTACGAACCTCCAGCTCTCACTGTAGAGTCTGCAGAGCCGAATTTGAGTAACAAAGACCTCACTTCGATGAGGATTCCTAGTCGCTTCCGCGGTCTGTATCGTCTTCATCTCTCAACACACTCCCCTAACACCATTATCATGAAGCTAACCACGATCAGATCAGATAGTAGGGTCGGAGCCCTACTCATCACCAACCCTTGATCACGGAAGAGAAACAATCCGGTGGGTTTCTGGAGCTTACCCAGCACCCGATACGGAGATGGTGGATTGGATCAAGTCGACCTCAATCGTTACAAAGAAGGGAGATATAGATGAATATGCGCACCTCATGTGGTCCCGGTGTCTAGGCCTCGCCTGGCTGGGGCTGCAAGTTTATTGAGACTTTTTCCCGCGCACGCAGTTTCAATTGCTACCATTTTATATTTTTTGTGGGGTAGAAGGTTCCGTGGAAAAGGTGGCCGAAGTCCACGGGTATATGCTGAGCTGAATGGCTATTCATGAAGGGGAATATATCAATGATCTTTCAAGTAACAAAAGAGGCAAGGAGCACTGTACAAGGTTTGGCCTGGATCAGAAAGGAGCCTAATGTGCTGGATAGTCTGTGACTCAAATAGCATATAAAACACACACACACACACACACTTTACACAAGTATTTTAACATGCTAGGCAATTAATATCTTCCACACTACTACAAGAGCTCGAGCAAGAGTGGAGTCAGACCGGATCAGGTTGTGTACTGTGGTGTACTAGAATCTCGTTCCACCTGAACGATTTGACCACCTCTGACTCACCCATTTATTGAAAATATCGAGTCCAAACGTACAGAGAACTCAAATTTCAAAATGCCGCAGCCTAAATTCCTCCTTAGACTTGGTCACAACGCACCCGAGCCTTTGAAACCTCTCCGCTCTCGAACTTACTCCTTATTGCCAGCCCAAGACATGCCTCATCACAGCGACTTTCGCTTTATCAAAGAATCGTTATCGTCATTAAAGTCTTATACAGGTAACCATCGTGTCTCATTCTATTTTCTTTTTCTTTTCCTCTCCAATCGTAGTATCCCCTTGTCGCATCCACTAATAACTCTATCTCAGAAATACGAAAAATTTAAAGCTCTCTGACTTGGGCCATCCGCTGCCGTACCACTCATCCGTGAGACTAGTTACATGAATTGCTCAAGACTGAAGTACCTGTGACTCAGGCTTTGTTTAATGCTTAGATTGATAATTTGGCAAAATGCAGTATCTTTTGGTTACTGGCTAGTCGCCGCAGGTCAGGCTTTATTCATATTTCGGCCGGTATTTTGACTATATCCTTTTTTTTTTTTTTTTGCATTAGATTTTAATTGCGAATGCAGCTATCTAGCTATGACACAATATCAAAGAAAAGTACAGAAGAGATGACCCAATTTACAAGAGGAGCACTCATGCCTTAGATTTCATTTGTAAATACCACTGCGAAGTTATGGTAGCTGACCGTATCCTCGTAGTGAGTGGTGATTGCGAGGGTTTGGGCGGTCTCTTGTATGTCTGATGAGCATTACGACTCTTGGGTTCTCTAGATTGCTTTCGTAGGTTGCGAGATGAGTTAAGCTGTGGAAGATCATCCAGTGAAATGAAGATGGCGAAGGTTATCTGCTCTCGCCCGATGTTTTTTTTCCTACTATCTAGAGCTGTTAGTTTTACGAAAAACTAGTTTCCTCATAAAGCCCCATTTTACCATCCCTAAGTTATCAAAGGCGTGACCGTAGCCTGACTTTAGAAAACAGTGTTAACCCATTTCCTATACAAATTTTAACTAGAGACACTCTCAGGATTTAGTTTATACCACGACCTTCATCCATGATTCGGGACTCGATAATTTTTTCCTATCTCTGTGTCAAAAATCTTTGATAATTCATACCGACTCGTAGCCCGTATTTTGATCTTTGAATAACTACAGATGCCCTGGTTTGACGAGAGTGTTGTTCGATTATTGAAATGAAATGGATACTTTGGGACGTACACTTGGGACAACACCGTTTTGAGCGGGTAAGAAAATTTATCCATTGAAGGGTATAAATCCAGGGATATTGGATAGAAGATATTCTAGGCCATCAACATCATGGAAACGTTAGGGTTGAATAATTGTGACTGGGATGATATCACTCAAAGGGGCAGTTATGAGCACTCACACATCTCATTCTTGCTTCACTTATTGAGGGTTTAGGATTGGCTTAGCCTACTCCATTTCTTCAAGCATCTTTAAGGGTATTAATGAGCCGGTATAGTTGAGATATTCCATATCTGTAGTTAATATCAAATTCCTCATCACCGGCGGAAAATAATAAAGTGTTTAAAAGAAATCCTATGACGAACCAATAGGCTGTGGGTTGCTCGAGTTATATCTACAACTATTCTTCAGGAAGGAGACTTTATGTTACAATAGAGATCCAGAGCAAGTGAGATGATTAGAAATCACCCCAAGATAACAACCCCCCTACTTCCATTATGTAAATTAAAATGTGGCCCATTCCCCAATCTTGTAATAGCTGAAGGGCAAATTTCATCGTACCAATTTCATGGATTAATTGCAACGTGTATGTATTGTGATAAATAGTCGATCAATTCTTTTTGATAATAAGCTATTTATTTATAACTTGCTTTTATTAGTTGTGTCCAAAAATTGGGGTTGAAACTTCGATTTCTGATCTTATTTTTTAAAGCATAAGGATTTATCCTATTCGATCTGCTTCTAAAATTCTGATTTCCCTAGTTTATTTAGAGCAAATTTACTCATTTTTTAGGCGTTGGAAAATTCGTGGACTCAAATGAGGCTATCCCACGAACAGTAATGCGTGTAATATTCTTGGATGAAGGTTTATCAGGAAAATAGCTTATTTCGCATAAAATACTTTTTCATTTGAGATTCCAGGAAATTAAATAGCATTGCTCGAATCCTTTTAGGTAGTAACAGGCTCGGGTCTGCTAGAAAATAAAATTTTATACTTCACAATCTCGACTATCTCCAATTGTACAGAGGTAGTTTCATCTTCATCCAAGCCTTCCTTTTCGATTGCCATTTTTCGGATAATAGCTAGAGCCTTAGGTAATTTCTTCACTTCTCCGGTTAGTCGTTGATGCTTCCCAATGTACATATAAACTCTCTTCATCCAGTCGGTGCTATCAGTACCCGATTTTTCATAATCTGGAAATAATAAACGCCCGATTGGATATTCTTGATTCCCATGACCAGCAGAGGGGTCCAATGATAAATCATTCATATCTTTGCATGGTGGCAGATTGAGAGTACCTTGTAATTCAAGAATTGCCAGACCAGACGGAGTACAAAGAAGTGTCGGAAGACTACTTTGTGTCTGAGTTTTTAAAGGGGGGCATTTAACCAACTGAATTTGTTCTTGATTCATACTCACAAGTACGCCGTTGATGCCTGCAAAATATGTAGACTGCGAAATGTGCGCTAATGTCTCCGTACCTAGAATGAACTCCGGATATTTAGTTGATCCGTTAACGGAAAATAATATATCACCTGATACTCGCGTATATTCCCACGCACAAACGGATCCCGAATTTCGTAGCAACTCAGCATCACACCCGCTCGGGCACAGTCGACAAAAGTAATATTCGACACTCAGTTCATTCGCCATAAAATCTAATTATTTCGCCCTCGGAACAAAATTAAAATGAAGCTTGTAAGAATATCAAGACGAGATAAGCATGCACAAAAACTAATAAATATATTTACAGAACATTTCATTTGTATGACACTTCCTTTGCAGCTCAAAAATTGTCTGATATTTCCTTAGCCTGCCAATGGCAGCCAAAAACTTATAGAGATTGAAGATGAGCGAAAATTACGTGTGTTTATGGAAAAAAGGTAGAAACAAAATTCTTGTCGCCAACATTAAATCTAATCTGGAGCAGGATGGGTGCTGAAGTTCCTGGCGACAGTGTCAGCGACGAATTCAAGGGTTATATTTTTAAAATAACTGGTGGAAACGACAAACAAGGTTTCCCAATGAAGCAGGGAGTTATGCACCCGACCCGTGTTCGTCTACTATTGTCAGACGGCCACTCCTGTTACCGTGCTCGTCGTACTGGAGAAAGAAAACGAAAATCAGTTCGTGGATGCATTGTCGCCATGGATCTTTCTGTCTTGGCTTTAAGCATCGTTAAACAGGGTGACAATGACATTCCAGGATTGACCGATACGGTTCACCCTAAACGATTGGGTCCCAAACGTGCAACAAAAATTCGAAAGTTCTTCGGTCTCTCCAAGGAAGATGATGTATGTACCATTGTGTACACTATCTTCGCCTGCCCTTCTATCTTATCCATCAGAATGTGCAGAGTGTGAGCAGGAACAGAGGCTAATAGATTGCTGCCTTAATTTTAGGTCCGCAAGTTCGTTATTCGTCGTCAAGTCCAGCCCAAGGGCGAGGGAAAGAAGCCTTACACCAAGGCTCCAAAAATTCAGCGCCTAGTAACACCTCAGCGCCTCCAGCACAAGCGCCACCGCATTGCACTCAAACGTCGCAATGCTGAGAGAACAAAGGAAGCAGCGGTAAGTAACCTTCCAAAACCTAAAGGAGTTGACTCACAAAGCCACAGAGCGAATACGCTACATTATTAGCAAAGCGCGTCAACGAGGTTAAAGCTCAAAAGGCTGATATTCGCAAGAGACGAGCCTCATCTATGCGCAAGTAATTGGAGATATATGCTCGAAGTTTAGTCTGAGAGGGGTTAGAGCTATGTTATTCATCAAGATTGCAGAGATAAATGGTAAAAAGTATGTTAAACTTATTATAAATGACGATTACCTTTTAATATCTCGCAAACTAGTACAGGCTGGGGCCTTTGTAGAGAGATAACTGTGACATGAATGATAGGATGTGAAGCTCCAAATCAGAAAACTGTGAAACTAACATTATTGACCAGAATTTTTGAATACTTGAACTAACCTTAAACAAATTATCTACAGACAAATTGGCCGTCGACTATCACGCAAATTAGCATGTAAAAGGCCTGCTCCAACAACGAGTCTTGCATCCGAAATAGCCCCATGTCTCAAATTTTCTGCTTGATGATTATAAAGTCTAGAAATCAATACTGATCTGTAAGAGATAATTGATTCTGTTGGCCCAAAACGAAATCAAGATCTGTTCGAAATAGAACAAAACAATAACTAGTAAAATCATTGGCGAACTCGATATGACTAGCAAAGAGTCGAAGAATTTAATACGATGAGACACTTGGAATTTACATGATACTTCCAACCGATACATTTAAGGTTAGAAATATGTGTAGTAACTTCACTAATAGTTAGCTGGTTATATATCATCAGCTCCATCTGATAGCTTGGGGGTTAAATCCTTATGAACCCTCTAGCACTTCAAATAATCCAGGAATTTTATTTAGGAGATTCAGTGACTCAAATCTCTTCAATTCACATTAAGAGCTTGAGGAAGCTTCAAAAATTGCCTGTAATTGTGTCGGCGTTCGAGCATCTGTCGAGATACGGTCCAGGGGACTTCAGATTGATAGTTACCATCCATAGTGCGAAGAACCGGTGTCCAAGGAAATGTTTGAACCCTGTGATGGAAATAATGGAGGTTACTTCGATATCTTCTAGCTAGAAAGGCATAGCCAGTGGAGGGCAAGACTGAAAACCTTTCCTCAATGTCCTCTACGAACCTGGGAGTGAAATATTCTCCCAGAGCCAAGTTAAGTCAAATTTTGCAATACGATAGAAGTTGGCCCACAAGACAATGATTTAAAATACTCCACCACGTCAAATTTTCACTCACAACAACATCGACTCCTATCTAAGGCTTATCAAGTCTACAAGTACGACCAAGTACACCCTCGTTTTAATGACCACACCTCTCATGATCTTTTTCTGACATCAGCTCGTCACCAAATACACGTCCTTGCCAAATTTATACACGATGAAGGAAACAATGTGTGGCGCACAAATCCGGGATAAAGTTCTTTGGGATGAACGTGAAAGGTATCATGACAAGTTCATAAGATGATACACAGGACAGATAAAACCTCGACGGGCGAGTGATTTTGAACGTTGGCAAGGAGTTTTACGATTTGAGCTCTGTGTGCGCCAAGACTTCGCTTGCGAGAGTGCAGCTGACGCTATAAACACAAGCTAACGATGGAAGGTGCCGTGGTTCGCCTCCTAATGGTGTTCTCTGGATAGTTTGAGTATCCTGGGAACCTATTCCACTTGGGAAGGAGACATCTCAGATCAGATTACGCGTGAAGAAAAGTTGAAAGATGATGGAGGCATGTCTGGATAACCCAGGGTTTTTGAGACGTTCCCCTGGATGGGTATTCACGGATGAGGGTTGACTTGGGGTGAAGAAAAAGCCGCCACAAATTCGCAGTGGTACTTGCAAATGAGATCTGAGGCATATGTGCCCTAGTTATAATTGAGTCATCTATTGTGTACTATTTCTCTGATAATGAGTCGTCGCTAGATAGCAGCATCCGCAATTCAAATCTAATGTAAACAGATGGGCATAGCCTGTATCTCAAGGATTTCATATCAAACCACACGTGTCGAGTTCCACCTCTCTCCCCAAGGATGCAGGTCAGCCGTTTCTCATCTCTATTCGCTTAGCCTGTAACACTCAAGAAACTGATTAAATAGAGTGCTGCCAGAATGTTGTAGCATAACAAAAACGCCAATCTCTCCCACTCATGCGAGGAATACAAGTCTTCCTGCCACTTTTTCTATGGTCAGCTCGGGCACAGAATCTCATTAGCAGCATATTCTGGACTCATGTTTCAATGGAGGGAGTTCATACATTTAATGTTGAAAATCATGCGATAAATCTGTAATTGTATCACGTGTCTCGCTTAGTATTCCACACTTTCCGTAATTGTGAAGTGTGTAGATAATTAATAAGAACAAGAAAAGTAGCACCAATAGTTGTAGTTATAATACACACAATAAATTATATATATATATTTATATTATAAGAAATCTGATTTCGAGAGCTAGTATCCATACGCAGCTGAATATATAGCTGGTATGCAGTATACTCTTAACTCCACTGTCGCATAAATAACAACATTTAATAATTGGGCTCGTGCACAAATTTCTTCCAAATGGCACAACGAAAAGTCTGATGCGATCGGAATCGCGAATTAATGTAACCAATTCCTTTCTTTAATTTTTTTCATTACAAACATTTTTTCTTCATTTAATACTACTAGCAAATCGTGAGATTCATCGGGTGGACGATATATATGTATACTATAATCCTTGAGCACAAGTTGACAAGATCCTGGCTTTTATCTGCTTTTTTGAGAATGTATGGGGGCCAACACGTCGGGTATTCTTATTTAGTCTGGACTGACCGTGACGTGAGGAGCTCACACGTTGTGCGCGATTTCGACTTCAAACCTTACAAATAAATGAAATTTAATTTTCAGTAGCTAGGATATGCTCTCCCTCTGCCATAACATCAAGATCTCTCTTCAGAAGGCAACAAATTTGGCCTGGGAACAGAAGTTACACGCTCGGCACTCAAAAATTTCTGTGAAACTAACCGAAATACAATGAGCCCCGACTCACGATGGAAACAATCAGGCTGGTTTAGACGCAAAATAGAGCCCAGTCAATTTTCAGCGCAGCTCACCTCAGTAGTTAGATGTAGCTCAAAAGGACATTATACAATTCCAGATGACAAAAGCGGTCGAAATACTGCTGAGGGAAAGGAAAAGGTCAAATAATGCTGGGGGAGGATAGAGATGATCTGGTTAGTTTACATGGATGGCACTATAGTGTAACTGCGCTTCCTGAAGAAAATATGTGAGGACTATAGACAAAAAATAGAAAGGTGTGGGAGGTTTTCACCATAAAGGTTTCCTCCCGGGTAAATATTAAAGACTGTAGACACCTGCATGGGCCCATAGGGCGCCAAATCAGGATAATGAAATCAAATTCAAAAGGACATTATAGTTTTGTCTAGTTAGGCTTTGCTATTCTGTGGAATCAGAGCATGAACATCAGTATTGGTCAGAAAATACTAATTGTATGAATTTTCATATCTGCCAATGAGCTTCAAAGCTGTTGTGATAGATTTGATTGCGCTTCATAGTCATGGGCTCAGCATTGACTTCAACTGAATTCTATTCTTTTCAGTAAAAGGCGTCAAAGTCGAATGCTTCTAGCTCTGCGCATCTCAAAAATAGGAAGTTAATCATGACATTGGCTGGTGTTTTCTCGGCATTTTGGAAAAAAATGCCCTAATTGAAGAGTAGATTGCGGTTGTGAAACCTTAAACAACGACAGCGAAAACAACAGGAGCTACTTGCTAACTTATCTTTTGCTCTCAGCGGAGAGTGGGTAAATTTGTCATTAGGAAGGTGTGACGGAGGATGGAATGTTTGAGGAGCGCATTGCTTGGGTCCCATTCGGAGTAATCCTCTGGTTTTCGAAGTTGTTTTTAATTTTCGTGATTTTTCGTTTTCGTTTGATCAGCTTCACTTTTGGCAGCGATTCACGAGATTGGAGCGAGTCAGGCTGTAGGAAAATTTACAGGGAACCTTGCCGGATCCGCCGGTCCTTGACCCAATGTCGATAAAGAGTTGTAGCTTCGTGCCTAACTTAACAAAAAAAAATAAAAAAAATAAAAAACAGGAGCTACTGTGCCTAACGTGCTTTGCAATTTGCACCCTCCGCACTTCCATAGGAGCTTGATCACGAGTGTTTCCTGGCTGGATCAGATTAATTATCATAAAAATATAATAAACCTCGTCTCACCTCAGACTTAACCTGTGTGTTGAGTGATACCAAGCCTGATCGACTAGAAAACGCTACATATACGCCATGGCGCCAATTCTTCCTCAGCCTTAGCCACCACGCGCCCGAGCTCTTAACATCCTCATTGTCTCCGAAATATAAATGACGTCCAAGATCTCATCGTTGCTCCAACCTTGCACCTTCATGTCGTACCGTTGGGTTGTTGTCGTCCTTGGGGACCTGAACTCCCGCGCAAATATGTGATTCCCCTCGGTACATGTTTCCTTTTTTTCTGCTTTGTATACGATCCATTTCCATCATAAATTTCTCATAAGGGCGTGTGTAGGTAGGTGATGTGACGAGTTGGGAGGTGTGTCGCAGGCGTAGGATCGACTGTTAAATGCCTCGACGCAAATATATAAGGAGTTGGAGAGAATGAATAAATGAATATTTAATCGCGACGGACACAAGCCTAGCACTCATATAGCATGACACGGGGAAGACTAGCTTTGACGACGACTAAATACGACGATAACTCGATTTGATATTTGGACTACTCATGTAGTGGGTACATTCGCTGATACCACTCGAGACCTAGGTGCAAGGGACTTTCACCCTTCCCTCAACGGTTAATATCCACCAAAGAGAAAACAGGAAATACTATTGACTGCCTTGACATGCCTTTGTCATCTTGTATATAGCCGCCGTGCAAGATGTGGCCTCACAATCCTCCATCTCTCGAGGGAAGTAGTTGTCCAGGGTAGCCAGACTTTAATTCGGAGATATGACGACCAGGAGGCGGGTCAAGACACCATCCATCGTTGCCTATTATTAGAGCGTCGGTTGCACTATCCGAAATCGTAGCCTCGGCACTTTAAATCCTCCGAAGCCGAAAACACTCGAAAAATATGCAGCCCAGCTGCCTCTATTCCCTTAAGTTTTG